CCCCCCCCCCCCCCCCGTTATCTACCTTCGTGGCTTTCCAGGGCATGTGAGGGAGCATGTTCCAATGTCAGAGTTGCCGTTGGAGCTAGTATGGGGGCTGATGTCGAGCTTGGGGAATAAGCGTAGGCTGTAGTGAATAATGATGCCACGGTGAATATGGGCATGAGTGGCGAATAATGCTATGACGTTTACTATTTGGATCAGTAAACGCTCATGTTAGGGGCTGGCAGTACTTCAGAGTTGAAAAAGCTTCGTTGAGGCCAATATGAGGATTGTCACTTAGGCCACATAATTTACAATAGAAGAAACGTTGGGGTTGCTGATGGAATTCATTGCTCAGTCGGGTGTAAGGGACCTCAACAAGGCTTCAACGTCCATACTGCTGTTGCGACCATTGTTACTACTACCAAGTAGTGCCAGCAGCTCTGTTCGTCTTCGGGTGAGCAGCACACGGAAAACAACACTACATGCTATCGTGGATTTGATTTGCATGCAGCTGTAGCAGGACAGGCTATCATGCTGGCACTCATAGTAGGGTGAATATTACAAGTCGTGTCATTCTTGGGTCTATTGCTACTAGGAATGATATTGGGTCGAGTGGACTTCAGTGAGCAAGACACGGGAAACAACGCTACTATTGTTCATCCTGGATTTGATTTGTATGTAACGCTCGAAGGGTAGGCTATCATGCTGGCACTCGGCCGGCCACGTTTAACATGTGCAGGGCAGGTGAATTGGAGTTCAGTCCGAAGTATTGAACGTCAATCCCGAGGATTGAAATTCAATACTCCCGGATCCAAGATGCAAGATTTAAGATTCCAGGACAACGTTTCCCCAGGATCTTGAATCTTGGATCCGGGAGTGTTCGAGGTCAATCTTCGGGATTGAAGTTCAATGCTCGGGTTCCTCGGGAGTGCTCCCAGCGCCCTGAACACATGCGTCAGGGCTATAAACACGTGCGCGAGCGTGTATTCTATCATCCGTTGTTCTGTTTTAGTACTGCACATTTTCGGGGGCTACAATAGACACGGTACAAACATGTACAGAGTTGTCTTTTAGGGAGGTTGTGATGGCAACAATTCAAATCCAAACAACAGTAACGACACTAAGAACGACGATAGCACTACTGCTCCCAAACCCTGAAGTAAGCTGGCCCTCCCCCACCCTAGCGGGTGCTAAAAACCTACGAAGAAGGTAGATAACTGAGCGGGGGTGGGGGGGACCATATATATATATATATATATATATCTATTTATTTATTTATTTATATTCCTTAACTCTGAATCCGCAACCCCCCGACTTACAAGACACGATGGCCAAAAGACTTCAACAGCCAACAGTCACGAGCCTTTCCTCGCGAAACCCGTGAGCCTTTGGAGGCCCAGATCTCTGTAAGTCGAAAAAGCTCGAAAGTTTCCCACCAACCCATGCTAACAACAAGGCTGTGAAGCCAAAAACAAACATTGAAGTGCATGTATAGCGTGCAGACACAGAGAGAGAGAGAGGGGCAGAAACGGAGACAAAGATTTTAGACGGACAGGGGCAAGAGACAGAGAGAGACAGAGGATCTCAGGATTCAGTTTGGAGCGGGTAAAACCATTCGAAACCCCTAAAGTTGTCTCAACCCGAAACCTCCAAAAAGAAACAGGTTTTCGCAAGCTGCTATGCTGGCTCTCGGGTCGGACTCAACAGGCAGATGGCAGATTCTCTAAGATTCGAGTCTAACTTTGTACCGGAAGAATGCCTCACTCGTACAATAAGTACCATACTAGTACCATCATAACAACCATCGTTGTGGAAATAACCCGAAACCCTGCAAACCCCAGACCCTAGAAGAAACAGTGACTCAAATTTTCAAAACTCTGAACAAAGACCTCTTGTCCAAAAGACCTTAACAAGAAACCTTTCAGTAGAAAACTACACGGCTTATCACCTGGGTCCTTGGAGGCTTAGGGTGTAGGGTCGAGGGCAACCCGTTGTATACGGGTATCAAAGCCTGTCTTCTGAGGTTTTGACGGACGGTGCAAGCGTGCTTTGAGGACTTTTGATTAATGACCCTCCTTTCTGCAAGGACCTTAATATCGCCATTATTGGGGAGGCGGGTTCATAGATAACTCTCTTCTCCAGTAACCGGCACAGCAAAAGTTCCAGCTTTCTACGATTGGGCCAAATATAGAAGGCCAAACAAGTTTAAAGTTCTCCCATTAACTAAGTAAGTAACTATCACGAGTGTAACATTAAGGTCTGAACGTCGGATGGCACCATCCCTGCACCATCCCGATATAACTTTGCACCGTAATACGAGGCAAGCTGAAGCCGTTCTCTTCAGGCCTTCATATTGGACCCTGTAAGGCCATGCAACACCCTTCGAGGACCCTGTGCACTTGTTACGGGCCCTAATTACGTTACATCAACAGCGCTGTCGATCTTCGCCTGAAAAAGGTTTGGAGCTCCTGCTACGGTAAACGGACTTCTGGGTATTCTAGGGTCGAGGGTCGAAAATTTCAGGCTCAGAGGGTTAGCGGCTAGCGAGTACTGGGCTTAGGATTCGGGATTCGGGGGTGCAGGGGGAAGTGTCGGGCTTCGGGGGTTGGGGTTTCATGAAGGAGCTCCAAGAGGACAGCACTGGAAGTGCTGCTCTGCTTTGTTGGGCTGCCGTCCATTCTTGGTGCTAGTGCCTGGTGTATGGCAGAATTGAATTTCTGCTTGGTACTTGTAACTAGTACTCGGAGTATACTCGTGACAACGCCATCGTGATTTTTCATGCTCTGCTCATGCCCAGCTGTCCTGAACGTCTCTGCTGTCGCCACCACCCTCGGGATCCCCCCAGCTGAGCACAGAGCCATCGTTCAAGATTGCAGCCAATGCGCCGTTGGAGGCCTGTATCCGCTGCACATTAATCAACTGCTGTTGAATGGCAATGCTGTCGCCGCCAGCGTCTCGATCACCCCAAGTGACCGCCGATCCATCACCCAGGACGGCAGCAAATGCAAAATTCGAAGCTTGGATCTGCTGAACATCCTTCAGCTGCTCCTGTACGGCACTACTGTCGCCACCATCTCCAGGATCACCCCAGGTGACTACAGATCCGTCACTCTTGATTGCAGCGAATGCACGAGATGCAGCCTGGATCTGCTGCACATCATTCAGCTGCACTTGTACGCCACTGCTGCTGCCACCATACCAAGAGTCACCCCAGGTCACCACAGACCCATCACCCAGGATTGCTGCAAACGCGCCGCACGAAGCTTGGATGTGCTGCACATCCAGCAGTTGCTGCTGTACGCCACTGCAGTCGCCACCAAATACGGGATCACCCCAGGCGACCACAGATCCATCGCGCAACACTGCTGCAAAGGCACGATTCGAGGCTTGGATCTTCTGCACATTCCTCAGCTGCTGCTGCACGGCCCTGCTGTCACCGCCATAATCGGGATCACCCCAACTGACCACAGATCCATCGCCCAGCACGGCAGCAAATGCAAAACTCGAAGCTTGGATCTGCTGAACATCCTTCAGCTGCTCCTGGACTGCATCACTGTCGCCGCCACATCCGCAATCGCCCCAGGTGACCACCGATCCGTCGCGCAGGATTGCAGCGAATGCCCCATCGTTGGAAGCTTGGATCTGCTGCACGTCCTTCAATTGATCCTGCACGGCACTGCTGTCACCGCCAGCGTCTCGATCACCCCAAGTGACCACAGATCCTTCACCGAGGATTGCAGCAAATGCGCCATAGCAAGCCTGGATCTGCTGCACATTCTTGAGCTGTTGCTGAACACCACTGCTGTCGCCACCATAGTCATGCTCACCCCAGGTGACCACAGATCCATCGCCCAGCACAGCAGCAAATGCAAAACTCGAAGCTTGGATCTGCTGAACATCCTTCAGCTGCTCCTGCACGGCACTGCTGTCGCCACCAGATTCTGGACGACCCCAGGTGACCACCGATCCGTCTCCGAGGAGTGCGGCGAAAGCACCCAAGTACACCCGGAGTCCGTCAACATCGCATTTTTCTTCCGTCTTCGCCCCTGTAGCTGCAAGCTGCACCTGCTTCACATGTAGGGTCAGCACGTCACCACTCTGCAACCTGACTTCATTGACAGTTGCTGCTCTGTCAAGCACCTCTCCAGAAGCATTCAGCAACCTGCCCTTGCCAGTCCCCAGAGACAACTGGGCGCGTTGTGTCAAGGACTTAACTGATGCATCCGCCTCCACGTCAAGGGAGGCCCTCTTGCCACTCAGCAGATGCACGTCCACCGAAATTGTCATGATGCTTCTTTACTCTTCGGGGCGGTTGCTACATTCAAATGCCACACCTCCAATTTGCTGCACCTCTACATCGCCTGTGGTGGCGACCACAATATAAAAGAATAGTAGTAAAACTAATCAGCATGCACATTGCAATATGCACGTGTAGAGAGAGAGAAGGAAAGTAGAAAAACATTCAAAACGAAGAAGATGCGCGCATGCGTACTTGCGTCTCTTCTATCATTCTGACCCGAGGATTTTGCGGGTCACTGGCTCGGACCACTTCAGCGGCTGCAGACTTTAGGACTTTGGCTGCCGGGACTCTGTTCGGGCTTTCGGTTCTTAGGTCTTGAAGGCGAGCTCTAGGGCTTCAGCCAACTGTTGTTTCGTCATGCAGGCCCCTATTTTAAGCCCTATTAAAGACACACGTTAAACGCGCTGACAGGAGCCTGGCCCTAGAGTATTTCTAGTTCTTCCTGCCCCTATATTCGGAGCCTCTGCGGTCGGGCTTCAACGCTTGAGGTCATGTTTCCCTGAGTTCCACATTCCTGCACCCCAGTCTCAACTCCAGGCTTCAGGGTTCCTGGTCTGAGGGTTCCAAAGGCTTTGGAACCTAATTCCTACTACTCCCGGTCTACCGAAATACTCAGCCCAAGAGGCATAGATGCAGCCCACGCAGGCGTTTTTGTCCGTGACCAGCTGGAAGACCTTTGCCTCAGTGCATGGCAGTTTCGGGCTTAAGCTGGTCTGGTCGATGGTCGGTTATAGGAGGGTTGTGGGCCAGCTATTATGGAGTCTCAGGGTTTGGGGCTCAAGGTTGCTGAGGGTTCGTGGTCTGGGGTCTCGGACCAAATCATTCTACACATTTAAGGAGGTAAAACAGGATAAAGCAAGATACAAGCTGCAGTCATGTATGAGACGCGCAACAACGGCCGTGGACCAATAACCGCAATGGTAATCAGAGCGAACCTGGCCCAAGCCCAAAACCATGGTCCTCACCACCGAACTTATCTTCAATCCGGATCAATCCGGCCTTGGTAATGATGCGGGCCAGGTCCGTCTTCTCAGCGACCTGGTGCGAAAGAGACTGGGAGGCGTGTAAGGCAGCTGGGCGAGGAAGCGGGTTTATCACCCACACAGCTTCGAAGACCTAAACCCCCTTAAAGGCCCCTACCTTCTCGAGCATCTGGATCAAGGCATAGGTGATGGTCATGCCAGGGAATCGCTCCTTTCCTCGATGGGTGCGAGGCTGCGAGTGGCCACCCAAACCTCAGCCGCAAAAGGCTTGAGGTCTTGCAGCCTTTCGGCTCCAGGGTTTTCGGCGGTTTCGGCATGCTGCGGATACGCTTGCGATTGTGGGCATATGATTCTACTCCAAAACAGCGTGGTCGAGTATTCAAGAACTTGCATTACAAGCTCTGAGACTTCAGGACCAGGCGCTTGGGGTTTATGGCTTGCCGCAGAATCAATCTGGAAGTGCAGGACTGAAGCCGGGGTTCCGAGGAAACTAAAAACCTTAGGCGAATCCTAAACCCGATTGGGACTTTCTTGCGGCCCAACTCTCGAAGAAAAGCTTTTACCAAACGAAGCTCTGCTGCTCGACGTGTGGACGCGTGGAGGCAAAACAGGGTCTTCGTTACTTCGTCCCGGTCGTAACCCGAGACCCTAAAACTCCAGCACTTAACATGGGAGCATTAGTACTCCTTACAAACATTTTGGGACTATAAGGGGACATTACCTCAGATGCCACGCCACAAATCCACAGACCCTAAAACCCCACACCCTGAATCCCAAAAGACCCCCAAACCCAAAATTTCGGGTGTTGGAGGTTGGGGTCGCGTCGTTTAGCCCCGCGGCGGGCCACGAGGGACAGGTCAAGGTTGAACTTGTCCACAAGCCAGTCCTAACATACGTTGCAGGCAACGTGCCTCTAAGGGGTGTCGGTCATGCACTGCTTTGCTTGGTCCCTGATGGACAGCTTGGGGCTCATGGCATGCTGGGTTCAGGATTCAGGAACTAAGCCTATACGGATTGCGGCTTAAGAGCTAAGGCCCTAAAAGAAGAGCTGCGTGAATGTAACATTTGCGTGCTTGTAATACGCTCGACTGATCGGAACAGGAACCCTGAACAAACACCATCGGTCGCAGCTTCGGGCTCATCAGGCCACCCAATATCCAAAAAGCTCTTAACGTGATCGGCAACTCGGATAAAGTTTCTAAAAACCGTATTTAGAAGAAACCCTGAATGTTAAAACCCTTAACCTCCAAACAAAGGTGGGTCGATTCTCAACACCAAGTCTCAACATCGGCGGCGCTGTTCACGCACAGCAGCCTCGATTGACAGCTCGAGGAGACTTTGGCGGCTGGGGTGCAGCGTCTTTGTTTCGGCTTCAGGCTGGGAATGCAGAGTGCGAGTGATAGTTTAGAGCATATGGGTTTGGGGCTTCAGAGTTTGTGGGCTTAGGGCTTCTACGTTGCTTTAGCATTTTGGGGTTCAGGGATGCTTGCTGTTCGTGGATTTTAGGTTCAAGATTGATCGTTTGTACGGCTAGTACGGTTGAGGTTGGCGGAATGCCGGCAGTACCTAGTACCTGGGGCAAACGAGCCAGTATTTGGGGAAGGTTTTTGGCCGTGGTCCTGAAATCTGCCAGTACGGTGATGGTGCTCTTTCACTGTTTGGGGATCTACGCTGGCAAAATCAGCCTATATCTAAAGAAATATACATAGCAAGCCTCATGAGCGGTTCACTGCCAGGTCACTTCGCCAACTCTGGCTTCTTTGCTCCACCCTTCAAGGTGTCCTCAAGGGTCCGTACTTGGAGGCTTGATCATACGGGGGCGAGTCAGGTTTTATGGTCGTTTCCCGGGGTTTCAGATCTTATGTTGTGGGCCTCCCATAGCAGTCAGTCGCAGCCAGTTGTGTTTAGGAGTCGAAGCACTCAGCTTGGGAAGAGGTCAAAACCGGGTTTGGGATCACACCTCGCCATTGTGGTTTCAACCATTGAACCTACTAGCAACGACCACCTGACAATCGCACTAAGTCCCGTGGACCTGAAACCCTATGAACAAGCCTACGGAAACCGGACGCACTCCCCGACCCTCTGCGCAGGACTTGAAGCCGGAGTTCGGATGCAAGTTTGGGCGAGCAACTTTGGATTTGGAGTGCGCAAGATTCGTGGTATCTCTGTGTATATGAAAGCCAACAAACGACCAGGGAAAACATCTGTGCACTTATGCACGCACGTACTCATACATGCATGCATGCGGTCCATGTAACTAAACGTCTACATCCGTGCCCGCACCCGTATGCGTGTATGTATATATATATATATATATACACAAGCATGCCTCCTTTCAGGGCCCACCTGCTTCCAGCCGCACGTATCACCTGTTTCGTCCCTCGAGTCAGGGAGAAAAGTGTGTACCCACCTCATATTCTATTCTATTCTTTTCTTTTCAATTATAACAATTACAGTAGACTATATTATGTTGTATTGTACTATATTGTATGATGTTGTACTATATTACTATATGATATGCTACAATATTCGTTACAGTACTATGTGGCATTACATTACGTCGAATTCTGTATTATATTGCACTATAGTCTATAGTCTATAGTATATTATATTACATGGTAAGATGTGGTGTGACATTGTTTTATATGTGTGTGCGGCTTACATATAGTAAAGACACGGGTAAGCGAACGTATTCCTGTGGGCTTCGCTGTTGAGGCTTTTCGGATGTGACCGTGTCTTCTGGAGCGCGGAGTTGCAAATCTGGGATACGGGGCGCGCGTCCTGGGTGTGGGGCTTTGGCATTGGGCTTTTGGAGGCTCTGGGTTTAGGGATCTGGGTTTCGGGTTTAAGGTGTTGGGTGCTAGGGCCTACGGGCCAGGATTTAGGATTTAGGGTTCTGGTGTTCTGGGCTGTCCTGGGTAAAGATCTCTGCAGTGTCCGGAATGCCCTTTGCTTTCTGCGTCTTGGTGCCTGGTGGCAGAGGCATCTTCCCTGAAATCCTTAAATTGCAAAAGCCCGCCAAAAGCCGCCGAAACAATGGACGCAAACCTCCTAATCCCACTACCCTAAACCCCATTTGCATTTGAGGCTTTAGGCTCGTCGTTCGAGCCCGCGGCCAGCTCGGAGATGACGAGGGCTTACTCAATTTTACTTGAGGCTCGAAGCGATGCTTGGAGAGCCCAGTACGATGCTCCTAGGATCTGGATCATACGGGAACCAGTAACTTTCAGAAACCTCTCCATGCTCTTCTCTATGAGTCGAACTTTCCGAGGCTGCCAGGCTCAACCTGCGAGGTTTGGAAACTTCGTTGCTCGAGGCTGAGGGCCTGCAGGCTTCAGGGATCCGATGTCCTTACCCTAACTGAGTCTCGGCACTAGGGCGTGAGGGTAATGAAGGGACGACAAAGAAACCGTACAAGCGTTGATGGCATGGTAAGCGCATGGGTACTGCTTTTGTTAGATCGAGAACACCGATAGACAACACTGGTAAGGCTAGGTTCTGACCCGCACACCAACCCACAACTCGAAAGCTCTAGGTTCCCGAACCACAAACCCTACACCCCCGAAGCTCTCAACTCCAGATCCAAGCCATCCGAAACTCTCGATTGCAGAGCCGTCTCCCTGTACCCGCACCCAACAAGGGTTTTGGGTTTGGGGTTGGTGTCCGGTGGGCCTGCTCCGTTGATACCGGAGGTGGCTTTTGTGCTGTTGCCACCACAAAAGGACGACTTGTCCTGGAAGGCTGCAGGGCAAGGTCTTCTTCCACGGTCTTAAAGAGCTTCATCGCGTCGCCGGGTCTGGGGTTTACAGTCTGGAGTCCACTCCTGAAAAGATTCATGAGTGGGGCGGCTGACGCGTGCCCCAGCCGGCGTCACCCACCGTACTTCGCAAGTCACTGATCCCCCACGAGAACCTCAAGCCGTACAAAGCTCTAAAGTTGCTTGAAGCACTTTGGGAAACTTTCCTACTCGATCTCGCTGTCCCAACTCAATAAAAACCCGGAACCGCAAAGCAGCTGCCGGATTGTGTCACAAATTTCCGATGTCTCAGGTTGGTGGGGTTAAGGGTTGAGGTCTTTGGGGTGAGGATTTTCGATTCAGGGTTCAGGGTCTCAAACAAGAAAAATAAGAATCTACGTGAAGAATCAGTGAAATTAGTGTCTAGGAGTAGGATGATTAAGTCGATACAGCATGATGAACCAGTACACCCTCAATTACACCCTACTTCCCAAGTCTCTTGATGCTTGAAGTTATCTGATCAGGGTTGTGCAACGTGGGGGCTGCGAGATACGGCGAAGTACAGTGTCCCTCTTGCAACCTGAAGTTACTCCCTGCCCACAACAACGCCCCCAAAATAAAATCCAAAGAATGGCTGTAGACCGAGGCCAGAGCGAGCAAAACCACCCTACCGCCGTGCTCTACAACGGTGTTCGCGGCAGACATGCCTCATCAGTTAAGGGGTTTGGGTTCAGGGAAGGAAGGCGTCGGCAGTGCAGGGTTTCGGCTCCGCTTTCAATATTTCGGGCTTTCGGGTTGGAGCATTTGGCTTGTGCGTTTTCGGCGTTACAGGTTCCAGAACTTTGACGAAATGGAGGTGGACCACAACAATCTGGTGCATCATGTTTCCTTCAACTGTTGCGACAAATCCAATGTCTGGTGCAGAAGCTGTGTCTGAGCCAGGAAATAAGCGGATCATGTGCTATCACCATGACTAGCATTGTTACATCTTCAACATCATCATCGTTACTAGCATCAACTATCATCATCATCGCGCTCGCTTTCCGCATCACCAAGAGAATCATGCTCAGTCATGACAACCATTGAAAGACCTCATTGATGAATGACCAGCCAGCACAATAGCTACGATTCCTAGAGAAGTATGACAATAAGACTATCAAATCGAAACGATACATAGTCCCTTAACCCTTTTGTCCCAAAAAATCCCGAATCCTTGACCCTTGACTCCTCGACTCGAAAACCCTAACCCCTAAATCCCTGAATCTCTCAAGACCACGTGAGCCCCCCATGCATCAGACCCCTAATGAAAAGCCCTTCGAAGCCGCAACTGCCTCCCAGGCCGCCGCCGACGACAATCGCTTGGTTCGTGGGGAACGAGCACGCCATGGTCTTCAATCACAAAACCTAGGTTAGGGCTTACAAGTAGTGTTTAGTTCCAGGGGCTAGCTCGGGGCTGTGGGTGGTCGAGTGTTTCCGGTGGGTTTTTGTTGGGAGGTTTGGGGATTAAGCAGGAAAAGGCGATTTGCACATATGCTTCTGCTACGGGTGTTGGATGAGGTTTGGCGAGGGCTTGTTAAAGGGGAATGGAGATCTAGGGCTTACGGCTTTAGGGTTTCGGGCTTAGGACTCGCAACACCTGGAGCTCTAAGGGATTCGGGCCTTCGAGCTTGGGCCGCGACTCTGAACCTCAAATCCTCCAGGTTCAGGCCGGTTGCGAGGCTTTGGTTTGGAACCGGGGAGTAGGGCCTGGGGTTTAGGGCCTGACACCTCAAGCGTTGACTGAGGCTGCATTGAAGCTTGAGGGTTTGGGACTTCTTCGGCATGAGGCCCTGAAACCCTATGGGCCTGAGAGGACAAAACCGAAACCGCCGAAACCCGAAGCCGGCAACCCTCTTTGACCGAGCTGCCGTAGCCCACAAGGAAGGGCCTGCAGCTGTGCACTGCTGAGGGTTCGGGGATTGCGGGCTTGGGACTGGCGAGGATACAAGTAATCGTAGTGTGAGTCGTAGTACAGATGGAGCAACTGTAGTAGTGACGAGGCTCAAAGCCAGCAAAATTCAACTTGCAAACCCGGCCTCAGGCCCGATACCCTAAAACCGAGCAAAAGCACTACACACTAAATCTACAACACCAAAACACTCCACCCGAAACCCTAGAACGAAAGGCACATAAAGGGCTCTGCATTCGCAGAAGTTCCAAAACCCCTCACCCCGACACCTCGACTCCCTAAACCCTAGCCCACGTGCTGTGCCTCGAAGCTGGGCAATCGTTGCAGAGAAATGCCAGGAGCTTTAAAAAAAAGACTGCGGCGGAGGACATCAACAGCATGTCTTGGGGGTGCATCTAAGGGGTTCGTGAGTGTTTGAAGAGCAGCTTTTGGGAGTTTACGGATACACAATCCTAGGTTTTGTCCCTGAAGGGTGATCTCCAACAGCGAGAAGAGTGTTAAGGCTTTCAGTTTCTCGGCCGGAAATACCTACGATCTGACTTGCGACTGCATGAGCCATATTGGGGGGTAATCCTAAACCCCGAACCCTAAGGCCCTGAACCCTCAGTCTAGACACTAAACCCTGAACTCTGGACCCTCGACCCTGAACCTCACAACACTTTTCATTAATCCCATCCACTAAATGATGGCTTTCAGGGCCCGCTTTGCTCCTGTTTGGGTGAACAAAACCGACTTCTGCCGAATCCCACCGATCAACAGGTTTCAGGAAGAGAGAGGTTTGGGATCTGGGAAAGTAGCACTTGGAGCATGAGGTCTCTGCTGCACGAGGCCTATCAACCCTAAACCAAAATCCCGAATCTTAATACGCCAGCCGACAACGCAAGTTTTGGACCACAGATGCCCTGAATCCAAGGAGGCATACGTTCCCCTTTTGGGCGGTAGCTCAGCTCACAGGAGCAACACTGCCGCCCCCATGGGACCTCTTCCTCAGGGTCAGTGGGTCATTACGCTATATTCCCTTTAAGACCGTTTCCTTGGTACTTCAAGGCTTGGCACACTTTTCCAAGTAGGTAAGGCTGAGGGAGTATAGGATGCTGGGGTTTGGGGGTACGTAAAAACTCACGGAACGAAGCAAGTTATCATTACCGGTGTAAGCTGCGGGTATTTCCCTCGCGCCTCGAGCCCTACTTCCAGTCTAGTTACTGGTCCATCAAGGAAGCTTGGGGGTGTGGAGGGGGAATCTGTTCTTTCGGGCCTTAGGGTTTTAGGGTGGTCTAGCTTAGGACTTAGGGACCCAGAGCTTCAGGGCTCAAGGTTGAGGGACTTTGGGTTTCAGTCGAAGAAGCCTTCTCCTTCATACCATGTTCGTGGTTGAATGGAACTCAAGAGCCGAAGTCCTGAAGGTCTATGTGATTACAACTGCAGTTGATGGCTTGTTCGTACGATTTTGGTACCGTTGCTGCTGTGTGACCCTATCTGCCCATCTAAACTGTGTTATGATGAATGTTCGGAGGCGCGTGGGGGGAAGTCAGCTCAGGGTGCAAGTTGCCAAGGGAGCTTTGCACGGGCTGAGTCAAGGTGCCTCAGCGGGAAATGCTTCTCCAGCATGCCGCGGAAACCAAAACATAAACCGTTTCCACATCCCATTTCAACACCTGTTGCCACAAGATACCTTCCGGGTCGTTTTTTCGGAGTCCTGGATGTATGGACAAGCCCACAGTCCAACAGCACTCAGAAGTCTACAGCTATGGATGCCTCAACCCCAATCTAAATCCCTGCGCGACCCAGATTAACTCGTCCCAAGTCTCTTCACTCGATTCTGCCTGGGATCTGGATCTTGGTCTCGTAGCCTCGGCTGCCCGGCGTCTTTTTGCTCTGGGACTCCGCGCCCTTTTCTAAACGTCGAGCATGAGTATGCGGAACTTCCCCTTCTGTGGCGATGGTGACAAAATTGGTGATGGTGACTATGCTGAAGGTGATGGTGCTCCTAACGGGTGCGCTCTGCTTGTACGAATGTGGTGACATGCGCACGGTGACCACTAGCACCATGATTTTGGGCAGCATCGCTCCTGGCATTCTTCATGCTGATTGTGAGAATGTTTAAGCACAGCAAGACAGTAAGCAAGCAAGCGAGCAAGCGAGCAAGCAAGCAAGTAAGTGGCTGGAGTATGGTCTTCGCTTCGTTGCTCGATTTGGCGCTCCTTTTCGTTCTGCTGCCTCTACTCTTACAACTTTTGGTGATCGCATAGCCGTGGCTGCTATAGTTAGCAACCAGCAAGGGACAAGTCGACCGAGTTTCACTAGGCTGTTTAGTGCTCAAACCCTAGGCGCCGGAAGCCCCGAAAGCCCTGGACCCAAACCTCCAAGTTGCTCAGTTTGACCTCGAGCCGAGCCACCGGCGAAGGGCTTGGTGGCCATCACGTAGAGCGGGAAGGAGATGTAGACTAGGCCCATGACAATCCTGGGCTGCCCAGAGAGCTCGACTTACCCCTCAAGGTTAAGGACTATTTCTTGAATTGCGTAAGGCATTATTTACATTATATTTCCAGATTTTCGCGTCGTGAAGATCCTTGACTTCAGGGCTGCGGCGCAGAGGCTTTGCTGCGTTTCGGACTTGCAACCTTTTGGGTTTCGGCATTAGTCGCTGCTATGCCGTAAGCCTGCATCCCAGCAGTTTAGCTTTCGGAGCTCATACCGGAGTCTCTGTGGGCCTCGGATGCAGTGCGTGCACAGGGAATAATCATGCAGCTGATGATTGAAATGATTGAGATTCCGATAGTCCGGGACTTAGGATTTGCCTTGCATTTAGGCGGCGGGGTTGTCTGCTGTTGGACTCAGGATGGATATCGCTAAATTGGGTAGGATTTGACCCTTCTTTAGGATTTAGGGCTGAGTGTTCAGGATTCAGGGGTCGGGAGGGTTATCTGGAAACGGCCCATCCCACACATATAATAGCAAACTTTAAAAGATAATACTAACCCCCCAAAATGCTAGTCTGCTTTTGGTCCCTAATTCTGTATGTGCAAGCACAAGCGTCATGATGCCGTAGCCGATGAGCTCCACGCGCCAGATGTGGCCCCTGGGAATTCCTAGCACCGGCGTCACCTTCTTCCAGCCAATGCAGGCGTGGTACATGAAGATGCAGACAGAGAAGATGTAGAAGAAGGACCAAAGGGGGTTCTTAAAGATCTGAAACTCCAAGGCCTTGGAAGTCAGACCGTCCACGTAACAGCTCTGATACCACGACTACTGCAGAGCACAACGCAGCAAGTGTCTGTTGGAAGCTGAACAGCTACTACAGTAAAGGCTCTCGACTCCAGCGAGCACATGCCTGAGGGCGGCACGTAGATGTCGCGCACACCGACCTTCTCCACGCTGGCGTCGGAGGTCCAGAAGAGGTTCAGGGAGGAGATGCCCCAGAAGTTGATGAGGTACGGAGGCGGTCGGATGTAGTACGGGCCGAACTGGTCGGTGTCGCCGAAGCGGAACTGGAAGAGGTGGATGGTCATGAAGGTCAGGAGCATCAAGCCGGAGATGGCCAGGTTCAGGACGTTGATGCCCTGGGTCTGCACCAAAGCGAGCTTCATGTCCCATGTTCGCTTCAGGCCCACGAAGACGTGGAGCAGCACCGACAGGAGGATGTACTCCTCCACGATGTTGGCGGGCAGGCCAAAGCCCGTCCAGTAGAGGCGCACGTAGAAGTAGCCGTAGCCATTGAAATCATCTGGGCCTCCGTGTCCAACGCGGCGGTAAGGTGGGTTCCCATTTTCGTTAGGCCCTGTTCATACGGACATGTATGTCCTGGTTACAGGAACGTTTAGAATAACCTACGCTGGCTTGTGACACCGCTGCCGACCTAACCGCAGACGGCGACATAGCGTGGAATTCCAGATATACCTTCTTCGACTCTTCGGTAGGTTTAGGGCTTACTGCGTTCTTGCTATAAGGAACTTCAAACTTCCGGTTACCATAGGTTCATCAATAAAAGCATACGATTGACTATACATCCACATTAGCATAAACACCCTAAAACCCACACACCCTAAACGCTCTTGGGTGACGGCCTTTAAAAACGTGGAGGTTTCCCACTGCGTGGATGACGATGAAGAGCACCAGGAGGATGGCGCTGCGAGTGAGACCCAGGCGGTCGTTGGAGATCCTTTGTTGGAGTTCAATGGTCTTCGGGATTAAGCCCAAAGGATTTAGGGATTTGCGGAGTGGTTTAGTTTTAGGCTGGGGCCGCAGGAATAATAGGGTTTATGGTTTGATTCTGTTGCATTTGCGTTGTTGGGTGTCTGTCTGGTTGGAGCTTAAGGGCACTCACTGAGCTGAGGCGGGGAGCGGTGTAGCGTTTGGGGGCTAGCAAGACCACAAAGAAATTTGAAAATGATCCAGAAGTGCCGCCTAGAATCTTGATGTTCTTGGCAGAGAAGATGGTGGCGCAAACTTCCTTGAGTATCAACCCTGGGTATCAACCCTTGTTTGAGGACTCGGGACAGAGACAAACCCGCAATTGACAGGCTTGCAAGTTACGACGGTGACGACGTCCAAGTGCCAGCGTTACATGCCAATGCCTGATCTTATTCCTCCGACACATGTTGCAACTCCCGAGCCTTAAGCCCCAATAGAAGGGATGCTACATGCATATCAGCATATCCATGACTCGTCGAAGAACAAGCTAAGTAGGGTAGCTAGCCTCTGCAGGAAATGTGATGCAACTGGTTTCAACATTATTGCAATAAGCACTTTGCAGCTTCGGGGGACTCCTGACTTGCGGGTGAACGCTATGTACAGGCTTGGGGTTTGCAATTTAGGTGTCGACGAGCATGTTGAATGCAGGGTTACTGCATTTCGCCCCTTTGTGCGGCTGGATCGTGTGAGCGAACATGTGCATGAGTACCGAAAGTAGGCAGCTTGTCCGTCCGCCTCTTGAGTGCTTGAGTCACAGAACGCCAAGCATGCCTGAACCCTAAGCCCTAAGCCCTGGCACATCGGTCCATGGGAGCCGAAGCCCCGAAACAGGTGCTGCTGTGGCACATACAGCACTGAGAGCAGCAGGAACCAGGTCGCATTGAAGTACGACTTGACATTGATAAGGAGGACACCTTCGAGGCTTCGGTTGACGCCCTGGGAACCTGCTATACATGGCTTCAAGGCTGGCGTGCGATGGCATCAGATGATGAGGGCAGGACACTGCACCAAGCCCTGAACTAAGACTTCCCTCAATCAAACCTCGCGCCACAAACACCCAATAGCTTATGGGGGTTTACCGCTAGCGCGGTGTCCAGACCCAGAACAAAGGACTGTAGACAAAACCCGATCTGCGCTGAATGCTCAAGCTGGCACCTTGCTGAACAGGGAATACCTGTTTCGTGTACTCGGCCAAGCCAAGCATACGCAGACTTAGCACCGGAAAATACCCCCAAAGACCCACACAGAGTACAAGGCCTGGCCTGGGTTCTCGTCGAGGTCCACTCGCCAGTTCGGCGCCCCGTCCAGGTGACCCCAGGCGGCATGGTTGCCGAGCTTGCTGCCTGTGTCTTTCCTGCCAAGCACTCCTTCCCCTCCATCCCTGCCCCTCTCTCCAGCTCTCCCCTTCCCATTGCAGTCCTGATGGGCCCGCCGCCGCCCGCCTTGGGGGCGGCGCTGGCAGCAGCTGCCACGCCGGAGCCGACCGCACCGATCACGGAGTCTGGAGCGTACTTGCCGATGACATCCGGGGGATGGATCCTAACGAAAGTTACTTTCTAAGTAGGAGACGTCAGTTCATGTCAGTCTAGATCTATGAATTCTTCTGGCTTCTGCGATGGAAACTGTCAACGCAAGAAAGAGGCAAGGAGCTTTCATGCTAACTTCCAGCTCCGGCTCCGTGTCAGCCGAGGGGCATGTTGAACTCCTCCGTGGCGTCCTTCCCGGCGAAGGTGAGGATGGCCAGCTCGCCACCGGGGTGATCCGACAGGAAGCTGGTGACGTCCAGCACCTGACCATCGACCACCACCCAGCAGTCCGACTTGCTGTTGTGCTTGGCCACCTCGGTCATTGGGATGCCTCCCCCGCCGCCGCCACCTCCGCCGGCAGCAGCAACTGCGCCGCCTGCGCCACCACCGCCACCGATCATACCAATGACGGAGTCAGGAGCATACTTGCCAATCACATCCGGAGGGTGGATCCTTCAACTAGTTTCATGGACGGTAAAGAGTAAAGAAACTTGAAGCCTACACCGTACCGTAGACATCACATCTGCATCCAAGCGTCATGTTGAACTCCTCCGTGGCATCCTTTCCGGCGAAGGTGAGGATAGCCAGCTCGCCGCCGGGGTGCTCCGACAAGAAGCTGGTGACGTCAAGCACCTGGCCATCGACCACCACCCAGCAGTCCGTCTTGGTGTTGTGCTTGGCAACGTCTGCCAGGGTGATGCCGCCGCCACCACCGCCGCCTCCGTTTGCCATCGGTGCTGCAGCGGCCGCCGGTGCAGCAGAGTTCATCTTGTCCTCGTAGGA